TTTTAGCAAAGCATAAATTAAACTATTTAAACGTAAATCAAAATGCAACGTAGTCTTAACAACGTGTGCAAGTAAGCATTCAACTCGGAAAAAAATAAAAAATACTTGTGGACTTTAATGAGGTCTAAATCGCAACATTGATGATTATGCAAAGTAAAAGAAGAAAATATTTAGAAGAGTTAGTGTCACACATTAATTATTTGCACAGTCAAACTCAAATTTACAAAAATGTTTTGCTTAATCTACCTACGCCAAAAATATTCCATACAACTGAATTGAATATTAATAGTTTAAACAAATCATCATAGTGAAGAAACCGGTAAAGCAACAATAAGTTATGTCCTTACCAATCTTCTTTTTCTTCTCTTTTGTCCTCTTTCCTATAAAAACTCAAAATTCCGTTATTGAAATTCTCTGGTTTATCTGGAAACTGTAGCAAAGAATTTTGCTGTAACAAAAAAATTTTCGTAATTTGAAGCAAAGATCGTAATTTTCCTTTTTGAATGCTTAAGTCTTCCAATATGCTACCAATTACACATGGAACAATTTCAAAATAATGCTTAATAACAAAGTTGAAATTCGATCTTCAACTATTAATATATTCTAGACATTTTTCTCACCTCAGTATTCAAACTACCTTTAAGAATAAGGTTTTAGAACATTTGTTTTCATATTTCGATCATATTTCAGCGAAATTAATAAAAGTAGCAGAAGTGTTAAAGTTTTACTAAGGAGCAATTCTCTTACGGAGAATACACTAATCATGCAATTATAATACTACCGTAAGCGAACATTCCGCCGTTATGAACATGTACCTAATTTGCACTTAGGACGCCGATATAATTACTGTCGGTACGTTCAACAGGAAAAGTAACTAACAACAACAAAAAATTGTTTGAAGACCGCTTGATGTAACTTCAATACGAAATATGATGCAAAGTTTCGCGCATTATCAATTAATGGTTGGTCTATTATAGGTCTATTAGTGGTGCTATTCTTACTTTCTACAGTTCTTACTACTCTGTACATCTTCAAAAGTGTCCAATTACATTATTTATATCTGAGCTATTTTTTTTGTGTAATTGCTCAGTAACAGTAAACTTAGTTGTTTCTACCGGGTGTCCCATCGGGGACTGCCGAGATCGATATCTGGCAAACTGTAATAAGGACAAATTTGAAAATTGGACAGTGTGCGGAACTCATTGGGGAAAGCGGTCTAAAATATTTTCAAGATGGCTACACTTCCATTTATACCAAAAGTAGGTATCACTTGCTTATTTTAAATAGGACGCATGTTATGTTAAAAATGACAGTTGAATTCACTCGAATAATTATTTTCGTTGCCATGACGAAAGTGACCATTTTTAATACAATCAAATGTCAAAGGAATACTTACAGCTGTCAGTTACGTTTTGAAAATAATTAGTAATCATGTCCAGACTCTTAAAATGTAAAAACGAAGAGTATTTAAACTGATTTATTATTTACTAAGAATGTGATAAAGCTATATCAAGAACACGAGACACATTTGCCATTCGATATTAACAAAACAGAAGTCTTCACGCTGTGCTGTTAAACAAATTATAGAAAAAATTGCAAGAATTTGGAATACGTTCAAAAACATAGTGCATGTTCAATTTATAAGGGCAACCAGAAAAATAAGAGAGCTCTGGATTTAAAAAAACTGGTTTTTGTTCTTGATATAATAGTAATTGATAATATATAAACGGTTCTTAATATAACTTTATCACATTTTCCATAAATAATAAATCAGTTTTAGTAATCTTCGTTTGTATAATTTAATCATCCGGACAATAATATTAATTATTCCCTAAAGTTAATTAACTGAATTAATGTAAGTATTCCTTTGGCATTTGATTGTATTAAAAATGGCTACTATCGTCATGGTAACAGGATTAAATAAGACAAAATTATCAAAAAGGGGGGTTTCCATTATTTTAGGCGGTTTTCTCAACTTTGTTTTGTTAAATGTTGTTGAAATTCCATTAAAGTAAGTCCTTTTCAACGAGAAATGCGGCTCAAATCAAGTAGCACAAATTCCTTTATAGGAAAAATTAATAATCATTCGAGTGGCTGCAACTGTCAGTTTTTACATAAAGTTTCAAATATATCAAAAACGGTTTGACTTATGGATATGATATTATAAAAAAAAATTATTGACCCCATGGAAACTATACAATCTGTTCTACAGAACAATAAGTAGTCTTTGTGACTTAAAAGTAATCAGATGTAGAGGTGATTCTCCAGCGAAAATCTCTCTTTCTTGTTATTAGAATTATCTAAATAGTTCCTATTTTGCCGACATGTCTTAACAATTAGACCGGTCAATTAGGTCCGTATTATAAATGAATATTTACAATTTGAAGTATAATTGAAAAAATATATATAGGGTGTTCCATTTTAAATAAGCAAGTTGATACTTACTTGTATTGGCCATTTTGAAAATTTTTCAGATCGCTTGTCCCCAATGAGTTTCCAACATTAAAATGCACGCTTCCAAATTTAAAATTTCTCCTAATTACAGTTGCCAGATAGCGATCGGGGAGGTTCTCGGTGGGACGCCCTATATAATTATGTATATATAGTGCCAAAATGGAACGGACAGTATTTGAGCACTTCATAGTGCCCTATTTTGCTTTAGAACATTGTATTAAAAAAATAGCTTGGAAGCCAAAAATCCAATATATGCATTGTTCGGACATGAGTAACCAACTGATGCAAACCGAAACGAGTAAAAGTTTTAAAAGGGTATTGAAAGCGACAAAGTGTTTTGTTCGAATATTTTCTTACTATGTAGAAAAAATTAAAAAAAGGTCAATACATTTTTAGAAATACTTAATACATAATATCGTACTTTACCTAAGTCACAAGCCTGAATTTGGAAATCGTCGTTGCTCAAATCAAAATGTTCGATAATGTGTGTGAAAAAAATATGTAAAATCACTAATTTAGCGCCGGCATTGTTTAAGCTTTGCAAAATTGCACGGGTCAGAAACTTATCGGACCATCATCATCATATGACTTTAATAGACTTTCGGCGTTTCCCAACGAACAATTGAGGCTCAACATGCGTGGTTCCGTTCCAACAAAGCAAAAAATCGGATGTGAATGCAGTTACTTTTGAAACCAGTGTATCGATAGCTAGTAAATTGTTAATTTCTAATGTAACTGTTACCTTTTCCTAAGTTTTGCAAATAAATATCAAGATGATTTCAAATTCATGTTTTCTAAGACAGGTGAGTAAGAAAACAAAATTTTGTTATTTAAATGATTGAAAGTTATTACACTTTTAATTATATTTATTGAATTCTGATTCCCACTTATTCGCAAGTTCACAATATTCATTTGATGAACAGACTTATAAATTGACCTATTTAATTCATACACCCATTGAATTCATTTTTAAAACTATATAAACCTTGGCCCCCTTCGCACAAGTTAGATGCTTAAAGGGAAACAGACAATGAAGTTATAAAATTAGAAATTCTAATGGCAAAAGAAAAATTCTGAAATAAAAATGTGGTAATTCTTGTATAACCGACAAACTACTTTGAGTACTTCTGATTTGATATTTTCAGTTGTTTCAACAAGTTGGAACACCAATGGTGACCTAGCAAAAGTTATTTCAATTAACACCCCGTATTATATGTAATTTTTCTTAGATATAAAACGACTTATGTTAATCAACATTATTACTTCGTTCAATTTCAGTATTTGAGAAGGAACAATTAAACCCGTTAAAGGCCATATGTGTATCTACATACTTCTGATGATAGTAATTGTCGATCATTTCTAAGTTTTAACTACATTTCCGTCCTCGCAATCGTTTTAACGGGTTCGCCAAGTGTCATTAAATTAACAACAGAAGACGCAGGTCTTGCTTAAGCTCAAATGTGTATACTGAAGTCATAAAGCGTGATTCCCTAATTAGAGTTTTTTCAATTTAAATTTCAAAACTTTAGTGTAAAATAATGTTCAGGAAACACAGAAAATAAAATTAATAAGGAGTATTTTTAATGTGTAGCTATCTCAAGAAGACCTTTAGGTATCACGCATTGTTTCCTATTTACTCTGTTGAAAATGTACTAACTGCATGGTTTATAATTTGCTGCACAAATCTTTTCATAATTAATATAGACGCTGTTTCATGTCGATTATCACACTACCTTAAAAGATTAACGCAGTTTGTCGAATTTAATTTATWAATTAAAAGCGACCAATGGTTTTTTACCAAATATTTTTTRTCTCAATTGTGACTTAAAATTAATTGTAATTGTCATGTTCAGTATTTTTTCTGTTTCATTTAGTTGYATACAATCGTTCAAGACTATCGCATTAGCCACAARATGGACATAYAGCATTCTTTATTTATTTTAAAACAATACCTACGTTGTAACATTRAGTGCAGATTTTGGAAAACTTGCTATATTGATTTATTARTACTASTATTTTAAGTMATTTTAAGAAGTGCCATAAAKTATCAGTCTTCCCATGGCGATTCTTACGAASACTTAATAACATACTTTCTAACATAATTTAAACTCCGATGGCGGAAAAAGACGCAATTGTTTTAAWYTYTTTGGCTGCAGCAGCCAAGRGATTYTGAAGTGTGCTTCACTGTAGATGGAGAAAATCAATGTCTTATTTTCATTAAAGGTACAACTATCCCATGACCTCAAAGTCTCAAAACGGTAATATRTTTCAGGTGYAATACACTGATGGGCAAAATTAGCGCACTATCTATAAATTTTAAAGAAAAAATATTATAAACCCTACATACTTTAATCAAAGTTTAAATTATTGTGTTTTAAAATAATATGAGGTTGTTTGGAAAGATAAATTAAAACGAAACATGAGTCACTAGTTTATCAGATTTCTGGTTAACATTTATGAAAAATAAATTTTGAAATTCAGGTAAAGGTTYCGTCTTTAACCGATTCAATAGCGTGTATTGCCGCCTCTAGCTCGAATAACGTCCCTTAAACGTCTTGGAGTGCCAATAAAAGCTTTGTAATGAATTCTCGGGGTATGTTGTGCCATTCTTGAAGACCCGCGTTTTCAAGTTCAGCCAAGTTCTCAGGGGTAGGATCTCRTCGGCGAATACGTCGTTTGCGCTGATCCCACWCTAATCGTTGAATGCCAACCTCATTAAGATATTCGCGGACGATCAGAGCTCGGTTCAGTCTGACATTATCATCYATAAACAAGAWTTTGTTGCCCATGTGAGATGCAAAAGGTGCAACGGCTTTCTAAAATCTATTGAATCTACTTCTGGRATGTTAATGATCTTCCTCGGATCACCACAAGKTCCGTACSGACCTCCAAATAAATGCCACGCCAAAACATTATTGAGCYATCACGGAAAGYCAGTTGRATAAACATACATGCTTGGCTGTATCTTTCTCTTGGTCTTCTCCAAACAAAAACTYGCCCCTMCGAAGATTTTAAACCCACTCTAACTTCATCAGTAAACAAGAYTTTCTTCCAGTCATCYAAATCTCAATMCACGTGTTCYYGACAACGTGTTTGCAGGATGTTTTGCACTCAATYYCGATTCATTGAGCCTTCTTCTYACMGTTTTGGAAGAAATTKCAACAATTCGGGCATTTTGAATTTGAATTTTTTATCTTATTTCCGGTAAKAAACCAAWTTCTTAAAGTTTGCAGTCGTATARAACTATCGTCCACTTGGTTTGTGGATCTTAGTCRGCCTTGCYCTGRTCGTCTAGCATGGCAACCTGTTTCCCTAAAACGACGAAGACATCGAACAATGGTGGTGTGATAAACACTTAACCTTCAGGCGACCTCACGTTGGGAATACCCTTCTTCCAACAAGGTGACAATTTTGACCGCATCAAACTCACTTAGATTTACATATACACTTTAGTTACACACATAAGTTAGGAAAAACGCAAGAAAATTGAATCTAAAACAATACCACACTAGCTGAAAACAATGTTGAGATGTTACAAATGAAACAAAACAAGTAGAAACTTGCATTGGAATGAAAATAAAGGGACCAAAAACAATTGGGGCTGTACATTGTTACTATGGTTACGTTATTTAGCAGCCTACTTGGGGAAAAATGATTTATTCAAAAATGAATAGGTGGTGCGCTAATTTTGTCCATCAGTGTATATAAAACTTGAAAAACGTTTTATCGAAACCTTAAAACTCTTTCTTTCCTCTGGGCAACAAATCAACAAATAGTTAAAGTTATAGATAGGCTTTTTATATACGTTCAATAGTTAATGCCCTTTTTAAAATATGTTCAACTTGGTTTAAAACTATGATTTTTACTGGAATTTAACATTAAAACTTACTTAATTGAAGATTTTGCTTAAAAATACATAGCAAGGACATTGTACAGGGTGAGGCAGCGACGCGAGACCCCCTCGTAGATCGTACAGAATTAGCGACTGAAAAAAAAAACGTTTACATGAAAGTGTTGTGGTTGTTGCCAAAGTATTTTTCTGTTGCTTTGAAGCATATAGGGTAGCTCAAAATAAAATTTTGACAGTCAAGTTTATTTTTTTAATAAAACAGCCTACTTTTCTTATCCAAAATCAAGTTCTACATTGAATTCTCAGAATTTTTTGTATGACATACTATGTGACTGAATTCAATCGTTTTGGGTACAACAGAATTTAAACATGGGAATGCAAGAAAATGTATCCAGTTTTATCGAGAGTTCAGGGGTAGGGATATTTTGACTTTATTGTTGAATACTCACTAGTATTTATAATCAGGGCCACTAATTGTCACATTGATCAGCAGTTTTTTCTTGTGATTATAAACATGGCTAACAACCAAATATTTCCGATTAGCGAGTTATGTGATTTGATTCTCACTATTGGTGAATATCAATGCCTAATAAAAGCGGCTAGTCGACTATAAGCACTTAAATATCCCACTAGAAGACAAGTTGCCCGTGGAGTGCTGCGGAAAGCCCTATTTTGTTTTAGACAGACTGGAGTGTAAGATATAAGAAAAGTATGAAAAGGGAGTTTATTGTCAGCGAAGATCAATAAATTGACATGATCGATAGCCAATGTTCTTAGTGGAAGCCAACGATCAGTAGTTAGGATTATAAGCAAACATATATATTAACCGTACCACCTCGACTTAACTCAAGAGCTTCATGGAGATGACTTCAATTATAGACATTTCTGCAGTTGGTTACAACTGAAAGTTCATGACAATACATCATTCCTGGCCGAAATTTTATTTACAAACGGAGTCAAGTTTCGAAGTAATGGAGAGGTAAATAGACATTTTGACAGACAAGTTTGATATTTCCCAAAACTGGCACTTCACTCTTGGTGAGACGTAATGACGTCATCGGTCCTTTACTTGTGGGGGATTTAATAATAATAATAAAAAAAATTTCAAGTTTAATGGATTGCTTTGGATCAGTAAAATCCTCCTATGGCAAAATCACATAATTGGGGATAATTTCGAATTTTTTTTATGATTTGAGAAAATCGCCACTTGCTCGCTTATTATCGTTCGAAGCTAAAAAGCGAAAATCAACTTTTTTATGGAGGTTGAGACATCCGATCGACTGAACTGATTAGGTTTAGTTCATTTCCTTTTAGTAACCCAGATATATGTAGTTTTTAGGAAACAATACTTTCGCGATTTTCTCGAAAACAATGAAAACTGGGAAGTTCAAAAAATACGGTTGGATGGTGCTCGATGAGCCCGAGATTCTTTAAAGAATAACTTTTTCCGAGCGGAAGATTCGTTTTCGAGATCAAACAATACAAGAAATTACAAGACAACACCCACCAAAATGTTTCGCTATTTTTTTTAACTATTCCCTGACAGATGTTAGGTATACAAAAGTTACATGACAAATCGACTTCGGTTGTGTCAAAAAAAAGTTCTATGTGCGTTAGAGAGAGAAAACCAAAAGTTTGTACAGGCGCTTATGGAAGGGAAATTTTCAAAATTGAATAAATTTGTCAAAGACATTAGAATTGGTAGAAAAGTTTGGTCTGTCACTTGAATGTAAGACCCCTGTATCACAATTGATACTAAAAATAAACTACACGTTAATATCTACAACTTTTGTATGTAACATTTTTCTCTAAATTTTAAATTAGATGTTAAAATGGGGTGGCCAAAGTTCAATCAATAACCCTGTACATAATAATATGCATTATTATATTACATCAAATCCACAATGGGTACGAGGTATAGATAACCAGCGTTTGCTCATTAAATGTAAGAGGTGGAATATTGAATGATATGTTATAGGGCCCCATTGCTTCGAAGGTAGCTAAAATGCCAATATGTACTACTTGCTATTTTTTAACGAATAAACTTCAGAACTATTTAGAGGAAGTTCCTTTGAACATTCGCCCAAATGTTTGGGTTCAACATGACGGCGCTCCCCCACTTGGCCATTAATGCGCGTAACTTTTTACATCGATCATATCCTCATAGATGGATAGGAAGGGGCGCGGACATTAATTGGCCAGGCAGATCACCTGACTTAATTTCTTGCGACTTTTTTCTTTGGGGACATCAAAATCAATGGGGGATCATTTGGGGGTCAAACAACATTTCTACTAACTTCCTCCAACTGACCCCGACTATATGAAGCAGAGAGTCAGACGCGCTTTCTACGAAATATTCCCACAAATGCTGCAAAGAGTTCTTCATAACAACTTTGGATGATTATATACAGGGTGATTCAAAATTGGCGTCATTCCTCTGGAGGTGTTGTCTGGCGCTGTTATAGGACTACAGAAAAAATAGTAAAAGAAATTAATTGTTATTAAAACCTGAGAAATTTCCAAAAAACCATATCAGAAATACGGCAGCAATGTTTTTCAAGGTAACCTGCCTAATTAACATTGCGCAAATACCTGTTGCTTCGTAATTATTAAAAACTCCGGTCACCATGCAATTATACAGAGTGACAATAAGATAGACAAGGACAAACGGTAAATTCAACAAGATTTGTTGACTGCACAACGTACCTTCGACATGTCAACCTGTTCTCGTAACCTCGAATTCTGTAGGGTTTGGTGTTTACATAAATAATCCATACAACACCAAACATTGGAATGGTTAACTGCAAACAAGCAAGTGCCTGTGTAATCTCCTTATCATCCTTATCAAGCAGCTTCTCGTATTCAGTTAATTAACTCGTGCTCCATTTGTATCTCTTTGTGCTGTGTGTATCGTACAAACATGGTAGGAATGTATCCCTTCCTCCTGTACCTCCTTCCTCCTTCCTTTCTGTACCGTATGGGTTGGCTTCTGCTATGTTACTGTAGCATTTCCCCTAAACTAAGCGCATATCCGCAAATTCGTGAAAGGAAATTCAAAGTAAGTCACAGGTTGACAAATTATTGTTGTTATTTACAAGGGTTATCCACCTGTAACTATCTGCTAATGACAGAAAACATCATTGCCGCTGTGATTTTTCATCAAAAAATTGTAGAAAAGAACTTTTTGATATCAAAAATTTTCGTAATTTGAAGCAAAGATAGTAATTTTTCTTTTTGAATGCTTAAGTATTCCAATATGCTACCAATTAAACATGGAACAATTTCTAAATAAAGCTTAATAACAAAGTTGAAATTTGATCTTCAACTATTAATATATTCTAAAAATTTTCGAAAAAAAAAATTCAATATTTTTCTGGTACTCCCCAAGTGTGCCTCTATCACCCCTTAAAAGGAATGACGCCAATTTTGAATCACCCTGTATATTATATGATATAATGATGATATATGGGAATACTCAGGGACAATGGGAATACATTTGAATATTTGCTTTAATATTCTTTCAAAATTATATCGTTTATTTTAGTAAAAAAAAATGATAAAAATAATAAGTTAACTTTGGTTGCGCTCCCTTATTCAAATGTCGTTATGTCCAAAACCATCGAATTCAGTCACATAGTATGTTATACAAAAGATAGTTCGAATTCAATGTAGAACCTGAATCTGGATTAAAAAGTAGGCTGTTTTAGAAGAAATATTTTAGGGACAAGCACAACACTTTTATATAAACGTTTTTTTGGAGTTGCTATTTCCGTACGATCTAATAGGGGGATCTCGCTTCACTGGCTCACCCTGTATCACTTAATATTAATGTATGAAAAATTACGAATAACGGCCAAATTTTACACCTTTTAAATTCATTTTTTTAATATGAAAGTTAAAT